GATGGATGGATGGATGGATGGATGGATGGATGGATGGATGGATGGATAAATGAAAAGTTTTACTATAAGCTAATGCAGTGTTTTTTTTGCAACTGTATGACATTCCAGAGAAAGACATATATTTAAGCCTAAAAACTGAAATAAAATGAGCTGCCATTTGGATACCTAGTAGCCTAGCACGGTGGAAGACTTCTGCACTTTTCTCCAAACTCTGTACTCTGTGGCTGAAGTTACAGCTGATAAAGAGCTAATGATAACCATGTGACAGAACATCCTGATGCATGCTCAATAATCCAGATAGAAAAATCTAAAAAAAAGTTAAATCTGGTCCCCTGGACATTCAAAAAACAAAACAAAGCCAAACAACAACAATAACAAAAAAAGTGGAAACGTTTTGTCTTTCATCCGAAAGACTTCCTCAGTCTGAGGTGCTGTATTCAGCTCAGTCTTATAAATAGCACCTTCTCAGACCGAACATGACTTCAGAAATGACCAGACTAATTGCAATCAACCTCAATCTCAGGCAGTAGGCATTGTGCAAAAAAAAAAAATGTTTTTGTTTGTTTTTTTCCCATTCATTATTTTGTAAAAATAAAAAAATGCCAACACTGCTGTCCTTGAATATGGTAAATAACAGTAATAACATGTGCACATGCAAATATGTAAATGGGTGAGTGTGTGTTCTAATTTATAAGCTTGCAAATGGCCATCAACTGATGTGAGAGCATGAATAAATGTTTAGACTGAAAAGACTTGAAAGTTATTTTTGTGTGTGTTTTTAATCTTAATTTGGTTTTAGGCACATATGTTTACGTCAAGTTAAGAATTAGAGGGATTATGGTTTGGAATATATGCTATGAAGGATTTATGAAGTCCACAATTAAATTATTAATAATAATTTAGAACAAAAAAATAAAGTGGCCATCAAATATAGCTTTCTGTTTTGTAGTTGAAGGTTCTTCCTTCACACCTAGGTTTCTCAATAAAAATGGAGAATGTGGAAGTTCAAGCTTTAAATGCATGAGATGGTCTGTTGTGCAAGTTAAATTCACAAATTAATCCCACTCCACTCTCACTGGGGAGTTGGGACATTTCATACAGTTGGAAACTTAGACCATTTTCCAGTTTTTAATTTAGAAAACTCCTTGGATGAGAAGTGAAGCATCTTCAACTCCACAATTAAATGTTGATTTTTTTTATTATTATTATTATTAATAGTAATACTGTATATTTATTTGATATAGAGGCAGAATTTGGTCATAGCAAACTATTTCTGAACTCTAATTCAAAGAAAGGTGAATTCTATAAGAAAATGGAAAACTGAGGGTGATTTCATTGTCTCAAAGAGATGTTAAGTTTTACAGCTAGTCATAACTACAAAAGAAGAAATACAAGTTCTTTACATTAGAAACTCAAGATGTTTAGTCTAAAAAAGTTTAAAGATAAAACTGTCAAATACAAAGGAAAACAGAAGAAGTGATCTTCGAGTCCTCTGTGATTAAACCAGATCATCAGAATAAACTGCCTGTTCACTGAAGGAGTGAAGTTTTGCTTAATTTTCTGGATCAAATGTTTTCTAACAGGTGTTTAACTGGACACGTGGTTATTACTAACATCTGTGCCATAACCCTGTTTCCAAACTTTTATCGCTTTCCAAGTATCATCATTAGAGACACGCTGCACAGCACAAGAAGTGAGCTAAACATTTTGTTCCCGACAGTAGGAAGCTAAACTTGTTTAATATGTGTTTCCTCATAAACATATGGAAAGAAAACATTTCCATGAAAGTCACTTTATCCTCTTAGTTTAAGAGTCTGCATCTGCAAAAATGCATTTTAACCAGCAATTGCATTGAGATTATACAGTATGGGACATCAGATTAATTAGAAATTTTAGAAGCATAACAGAACATAAAAGACAACAAGTAACTCAACGATTGTAATAAAACTGTAATGGAACATGACATAAAAACACACGGCAAGTCTTAAACTTCAGCTTAAATTTTGAATTTGCAGATATGTCGTCCATAATTGAATCAATGCAATTTATAACTTCTAGTGCACAAGATTCCAATGTACATTTCCAGGATTTTAATTTCGTTGTTGTTCATCACTGATATTAATAAATATACAATGAAGATCAACTTCTTAATTTTTGAGCTGCCTTTTTTATGTATTATTTTTAAATCTTTATTTTACCAGGAAATAAATCAATTGTATTTTTTTTTTTCAAACCGATTATTTATTTGCAGATGTTCACAAAACAGACCTGCAACTATTTTCTCTAGAATTTTTTAGGTGAAAGTTAGATTAGATGTACTGTAGGTCTATAATTGGCTATGACTCCTGAGTCAAGGTTATGTTAGTAAAGGTTTAATTACAGCAATCTTAAAGCTCTGTGGTACGTAACCATTTATTAGAGACAAATTAAGCAGATCCAAGACGTGGTTATTAATTAAGGGAAATATGTCTTTAAACAGTCTGGTTGGGATAAGATCTAGCAGTCATGTGGATGGTTTGGATGAAGCTATTATTTTTGACAATTCATGGAGCTCAACAGGACGAAAAAAGTCCAAACATAAATCAGGTTCTAGTGACATTTTTAAAGTTGTCTCATCTGACGCAGAACCAGAGGCGATAGTAGGAATGTTGGTTTATTTTTTTCCCTAACTGAAATAATTTTTTTACATAAAGACTCATGAACTCATCACTACTTACTTGTAGGAATAAAAGAGAGATAGGATTTTTCATTTGACATTTAACTCCAATTCATATATCCATTATCTACAATCTTTATACATATAACATTTCTTCAACATTCATAAAGCAAAAAACGCTCAAAATAGTCAAAGTATGTGTTCGATTCCATTAAAGAAATAAATGTAGATTTTTCTCTACAAAAGTGAGACAGTCTCCTGCAGGCTTTGAAGAGGAAAGTTGTATAAAAGTAATCATACCAGTAAATTGAAAGCTTGTGAATTGTAAATGTGCAACAGTCTCATAAAAGGGCTTAATGCTGAAATATTTGGGTGAGATTGAAAATGTAACATCTACTTCAAAGAAAAAAAAAGTATTCTAAAGTGCATTCAGCTTTAAAAGCCTCTCCTATTCAGTACACCTCACCTTTTTCTTGAAAAGTGGAGAATTTTAACAACAAAGGTTAGACTCCAGGGCTTACTTTAAATGTCAGAAAGAAAAAAAAAGATTTGCTATTCAAGCTGTAGCATTTCAGGCCAGATCCTTTGCTTG